GGGGGGGAGGGAACCCAAAAAACCTAAAATTACATGGCTCATTTTTTCCCGTATTTCATGGAAAGCAGGTCTTCTCTGTGCCCCGACTGCTGCTGCACTGCCCTCCTCCACCTCCGTCCTCTCCTCGGCTGGGAGCTATGAAACACGCGGGGACTTAATCTGTACTATTCGTTAGGTTCAATACCAGTCCTTGCGTCTCACTATAACTTCTGCCCCTGCTAATTACAGAGGGAGGCGATGCCAAACCCAGCAACAGGCTGCTCAGGACGCCTCTGGCATCGGGTCTCTGCAGCGGATGGCAATGGGATGAGGGATGCTAAAAAAGGCTTTTCTCCCACCTTGGTCCTAGCAGGCTCCCTCCAAAAACCCTGCCTTTTTCAGTAGGGAAGAGGTGGATCGGGAAAACAGAAAAAAAAGAAAAACCCCACGACATTAGAAAGCAAGAGCTGTTTTTTGTGTTAGTGAGACATACGGAAACTTTGCGAGCCTGAACACAGCCGAAATGGCAGGAAAACATCGGCAGCCGAAACTTCACATATCAGTTCCCAGGGGAGCGGAGGAGTTAAACATTTATGGCAGCGCGAATAAGACATGACATTTACTGAATAATAAACTGCAAACATGTCTGTTAATGCGGCTTTTTGGGATCTCCTCGCCATCAAACACTTAACCCCAGCAAGAAAAACACCAAAACGCAAACAATCCCTGCGACTGCATGTTAAACAGGCAGAGCACAGGGGAGGGCTTTGCGCGTTTTTATTTAAAGTTGGAGGCCGTAGGGAGCACTGTCAAGATAAATAGCCTGCAACCTCGCTCAAAGGCTTTCAAATCCATTCATCTGAAGGAATACAATTAAATCCTGAACAATCGGGTTAAAACTTTAACCTGTCAAGATTGCAGCTGTTCCATTTTTAATCAATCTGATTTCATTCAATAAAATGCTCATTAAGGCAATTAATGAGAGTTTGGTGTCACAAGCCATCAAGCATGACTGGGAGTTTTCACTCGGTGGCCGACGCATTGATTAGCGAGTCAAGTCATCAGTGAGAATGAGTCAATGTGCTGAAGCATGAGCAACGTTACCTTGTTTTAGGGGAAGTTGTTAGCCATTCTTCATGCTTTTCAAACGTTATTAAATAAGCTGCAATTTCCTGAAAGAGAAACGCAGAAAGAAAAAAAAGTTATTTGCATGGCTGTGTTGGAAACTGGAAAGTTTTATAGCAGACAAGTTTTATAACAGAGACAAGGAGCCACCAGCCCTGGGATAGGTCTGCAGCTTAAATCAGGTTTTGACTGAAATAGCGCGCTCGCTCAACGTTTGTATTCACGCCGCCAAAGCCAGACTTAAATAACGTAATGAAGGGATGCAAATAAGGAAAGGCATTAACATTTTCCAGCACAGACAATTTGCTGGTAACTTTGGTGACCGCAGCATCGCCAAAAGCCTGGCGTTACATCAGGAGGCAAAGGGGAGGACAGTGACAACACGGACACGGGAAGCTAAATTAAATATTTATAAATAGAACAGCATCACTGCAGAGAGAATTACTGAATTATTAATCATTGCCATAAAAAGCCAGCGGGTGACATCAACATAAGTCATCGCTCCCACTTGCAGGAATGATACGGGCGATTACTTCCAGATCAGAACCGATTTGTTTGCAGGAAATTATCGGCGCCAGCGAGATAATTCACGACACTGCTTGTGCATACGCCTGACGAACGTGGGATGGCCGCCCATCAATTTCCTTGGTACAAACCCAGAGTGGTTGTGGGGCGGCCACACCGCAGACAGGCTGAGCATCGTCAGCAGCCCCGGGAGAGACCAGGGTGACCCGCGCCGGCGGAGATGCAGGACCAATGACTGTCCCTAACCACGACGGCTGCTGTCACCACATCAGCAACGTCCCAACACCTAGAGATGGCCAAGGACCCCTGGGGCTGCAGTCCACAGGCTGCTGGAAACAAGCTTTTTCCCACACACATGAAGATATACTCAGAAATATGTAGTTTTTTGATGGTTCTCTTCCAAAAATTGCCTCCCAGCTGGGTCCAGAGTCTCCCTCTCCGAGAGACTTGCAATAGCAAAAGCTATGCAGAAAGGTCAGTGAAGATGCCTTGAATGTTCCATTGCCTCAAATTAGACCCCAAAATCACACGCAGTTTAATCTCCAGAGCCACTGCAACAGAAGCATCTACAGGCTGCACCATCACGAAGGTACACACACAAGAAATGGGTCTTTCGACCAGGAGAGGATTTTTTCCTTTTTTTTTTTTTTTTTTTTTTTTTTTTTTTTTTTTTTTTTTTTTTTTTTTTTTTTTTTTTTTTTTTTTTTTTTTTTTTTTTTTTTTTTTTTTTTTTTTTTTTTTTTTTTTTTTTTTTTTTAAAGTAGTTCTATATAAGGGCTGTAGCTATAAGGGCTGTAGCTGTATAGTACCAAAGCTAAAAAAATCCACAATGCTCTCCAACCAGCTGGCCCAAGCATCTGCTAGAGCCACAAAATGCAATTATATTACTCCCAAACGAGACGTAAAAATATCTTGTTTCCAATACTCTTGGTTTTAAGACTCATACTTAATGTCCTCTGGGTATTGCAGCGGTGCCAGATCTCCGTGTTATGTACTTTATTAGAGTTGTGTGAATGTCATATTAATGACTCCTAACCAACATGTTTACACTGCAAATAAATTCTCCCAGAATCCACTGCCGCACCCCTCATTTCCCAAGCCCGACTGCATTTTTAAATGATTATCGTAGCAGCAGATGATGGGAGCGGTACCGCTTCTACGTGAGCCAGGAGGAGGAGCAGTGACACGAAGCTCCGAAAACACCTCTTTTTAATTTCTGGCTAATTGTCGCGTAAAATTCAATATCAAAATAACCCGGTGCAGCCCTCCACCAAGACACCGGTCAATGGCACAGCACCTACACTCATGACCTTCCCAGAGAACATGCCAAACCTTGCACTTTTACAGGAGCTGCAGTTGAATCAGATGCAAGTGCTAAAATTCGGACACTGCATGGCCAAAAAGGTCTGGCCCCAGGAGTCCACTGGGCTCCAAAGGCATCGCCCATTTTTCCCCACAAGAGCCACTGATGCAGCATTAACTCACGGCTTTGACACAGGGTGCGATGCGTAGGAGCCAGCCACTGATTTTATGCATGTATATATAAAAAAAACCCATAAAATCCTCTGCAACTAAAATTCTTCAGAAAATATGAAACAAGATCTCTGCTTTTTTTTTTTTAAGCCAGTACAGTATTTCCACGAAATGTGCTGCGGTCTGCAGAATTTTATTCCCAACCCATCCCACATTATGTCCTCGACTCAGTACATTACAAATCTGCATCATCTCGCACCTTACAGCGAGACGAGCTTTGGAGATACCAAGGAACAAGCACCAGCGGATGCCGAAGAGGGAGCTCTCTATACATCCTCTCTAACACCCAAGTCCCCTGGACGCTCGTGGCGGATGGTCTGTATGAGCAGGCATTTACAGAAACAAATCTCTTTGATGCAGAGGCGGATCCGGCTGATTCATCCTCAAAATCCTGCAAAAATAGGCAGGTTTGGGGGGGTTTCAGATTAGCATGGGATTTTGCCTATTCCTACTAAAAATCAACTTGCCGTAAGGAGAATAAAGCAATTTTTAACTTTCATGGCTGAATAAACATATTGCTATAGCACAGAAAACCAAAGTATTTCAGGTGAATGAACATCAGTCTTACCCAAGGCTTGTTTACTTTACTCCTTCCAGCCAGCCTATACCCTGCACGCTCGAAATCTTCGTCCCAAAACTGTCGCTGATGGGAGGAACGCTCCTATTTGGAGGCAGAACATTTGTTTCCATGCTGCTGGCCTGGGCCTGCTCAGCAAATTTGGGCAGACCAAAGAATAAGCTGCAGACTGATGCTGCAGGTATGTGGGCGACCCACCGAAACACACGCACGTGTTACTGAGATGTCCAGGGAGCTCCTACCCCTGCTGCGGTAGTACGGAAAGCCACAGCTCCAACCAGACTCCAAGCTGGATCTTCAGACAACTCAAAACGTTTAATTCAATTCTTCTAACAGGATAAAAGAAGGATCTGCATCAACTAGGATAGGAGCTCCCCCAGGCTTTCTGCTTAATGATATATTACAGCCTGATTTCCCTCCTCCAGAGGAAATACCTTGGATAACAAGGAAAATCTAGCTCACGGCAGCGCTATAAATTAACACGTACAGCAGAGAGACAGCAAATCCTCCACGCTGCCTTCCGTGCCCCAAGTACTCAGATTTACAAGGACTGGCATGCAAACGGGGAAAAAAAACCCCTGCATCGTCTGCTCACCCTGCCCATGCCTGCCTGCAACCCTGTCACCCAGAGCACCTCATCCTTCACCGGGACATCTCAGCATCACCAGCGAGGAGGGGCCGTCGTGCTCAGCATCGCGAGCTACCCTCTGTCGGCTCCTTGATCCCGTTCGCATGGCCGCTGGTGCAGGGGGAGCCGAAACAGGGCACACAGAGTCCAAACAAGGTTTGGTGTCAGGAGAGCTTCTGCCACAGTGGCTGAACACCATCCCAGCCACACAACCCCATGCTGCGCAGGGGAGAAGTGAGCAGAAATGCCTATTTACAGTTTGACACCTATGTGCCAACTTCTGTCACTACATAAGCACCAAGACTCTGGGAGAATAATCTCTCGTCTGCCACCTCAAACTGGAGCAGAACTACGAGAAACAGATGACTCAGTGATGCTCAGTGATGCTTGCAGCAAACACACACACACAAAACCAGGCAAAAAGGCGAGTTTCCAGTGAAAGGCACATCCTGGGCACCAGGGTGAACCCTAAACAGCGAAATGGTGGCTTTCTAAGGGAAATAGATAGGAGAGCTGTGTGCACCATGCACAAGAAGCAGAGGAGCTCAGCAGCGAGACACCTCAGGTCAGCGCCTGCAGCCTGGATGGAGAAAGCCTGTCCCAGGGATGGGATGCAGACCAGGGTGGGAAGGATGGGCTGGGGAAGACTCCTCTGCTGTCAGCAGCAAACCCCCTTTAAATCCCATTTTTTAAATGTTCTGCTTTCTGTAACTATACAACTTTGTGTCCATCACCCAGGAAAGTCCCAGCAAACCGCAGAATGCAGGGTTGGCAGCAAACAGACGGGTACCACATGCACAGCAGCAGATCCTCCGAGGTTGGAGGCAGGAGCGAAAGGAGATGCTTTTTGTGGAAGAGACGACACAGGTGGCACGCACACACAAATCCGCAGCCAAGCAGCTCCTCCAAGCAAAGTCCAAACCAAGCTAAGGGCGAGCCCAAGCAGCTCAAGTCATAAAAAAAAAAAAGCTTTTTTTTTTTTTTCAAATCCATTGGCGTGGTGAGGAAAGCACCACCTGTGAGACACAAAATACAAGGATGAGGTTTCTGAGAAGTCTTGAAGCCACAGGCAGCACAGACGGCGCTGCAGCTGGGAGCGGTCAGCACTCCGAAAACCGAGGGTCAAACCCACCCCAAGCAGCCCAAGTCTGGAAATTTTCCTCCCAAACACCATATCCCACACAGCTTCTTGCAATAAATTAATTCCTACAGAGCTTTTCCTATACGCAGATTGGAATAATAAATCTGAAAGGCCCAGAAGAAAGTGGTCAGACTAACGCTGATGTTTTATCACCAGTTTGCAAGAGATGCTTTTTTAAAGCGCGTGCCTGTCTGCGCTTTGGAGCACGAGCAGGGCTGCTAATGAAGAGCCGGTGCTCATCAGCTGCTCGGGGCGTGTACCCCTTTGTCACACCAACACCGTTTTTCCTTTTGAAAAAAGGGGGAAGAAATAGATTTATCACTAGAAGACACAAAGTCATTAAATAATTAAAAACAAAACTATAGGCACAATAAAAGCCCTCTGATAACCACCCCCCAACTCCCACCCCCGCATTTTAATGTGCATTAATTCCCCTAATGATTCACTCTGTGTGTCTTACAGGGTCAAATCAATGTCTTCACCAAAAAATTCAATTACATCCCATTCATCGTATCTTTGGAGTGAGGCTATTGTTTGCTTTTGTCTCCTATCAAACCCTTTTTCCATTGCTTCTTGCCCGAGATTACAAACAAAAGGCAGCGCGGCACCAGCAAGGTCAGACAAGACAGAGCCAGGCTTTGAA